TTAAAACCATTTTGTGACAATGATAGTAAAAATATACGTTAAAAGTTTTGCTTCGGCTTATCTTGTAGCGGGATGTTCCTTTGCAAATTACGTGACCTTCGTTATGCTCGTATTGTCGGGGAATATGCCCTTTGTCACGGTAGGTTTGTCATTGTAAGGGGGCTGAACAGTGAACTTGAAAAGATAATTAATTCTGTTACTTGTTTAGCATCAGGATTTAGTACCTACTAATAAAATATTAATATTTTATTGCAGGCTTGTCATGCTTTACCTGTAGCAGCAAGACCAACGAAGGCTGCAAGAACGAAGACCTGAAAAGTGGACACCGGAACAATCTTTTCTCCGAAACATGCCCCGGAACTGATGCTGTTTGCATCAAACAATCTATTGAAGGTGAGTTAGATCGTGACTAAAGACAAGGAAAGATTAAGCCTTTTATCGTGTTTTATTTTAAAAGTTAGGGAACTCTGAGGATGGGTGCTTCACTTCATAAACGATTAAACGAACCGTGCTAGTTTGGTTTATTAAATTGAACATTTTTCGGTCTGTTGAGGAAGTTTGTCACGGCCTTTGAACGGCCTTTGGGTAAGAGGTTTGGAAAGAAACATCGGACTAGGTTGTGAGTAGTCTGTAGACAATCAAGTCGTGCATCGTCGGCAGTTGAGCCCATCCTGTCTGGAACGGAGTGTCCTGCGGGTGGAACAGGCCTCTCAGTCACTCAAATAGTCAAGGCAGATGGGCCCCTGCGCCCTGCGACCTCCATTGCCTGTTTGGTTGGATGCTGGTCATCCCGGAACATAAGCCTTTTGTACGGGGAATAAGGGATGCATACGTGATGATACATAGTACCACCATAACACACCGACTAATGTCTTTCAGTCAAACACTACTACGAGGAGCACTACAACCGGGCCGAGCTCAAGAAATACTACACAGCGATGGACGAGGCTGCCGAGTGTCATGGAATCGGACATAAGCCTCACACCGCCGTAACCGGCGCCCCTGGCGACAACGAGACAAGCACTAGTTCAGACGACACCCACCAGGATGTCACTGCTGCTCCGGACTCGGCGCCCGACTCCGGAGCTCCCGCCGCTGACGCTGGTGATTCAGCTGGAGAGGACGGTGGCGAGGCGGCCCCGGCAGCAGGAGATGCTGCGGCCGACCCAGCTGGAGATGCTGCAGCTGCCCCTGCCGGACGACGGCGACGTGCTGTGGCTACCAACTGTCCGGTGAGGAGGCTGAAACTTCATAAACCTTCTCGATAAGTAAATAATCCCGACAGGCGTCAAGCTCATGACTATAATTGTCTCATGCATGACACGTCCCTTGTTTCGTATTAAAGTATTCAAGGTCTTGAAGTTCCAGCTGTACTGTGTGCGTTTTTAGGCGACTGCTAGCTTCACTTGTGGACTGTGTCCCACAGCGTAAGGCTATTTTCCGTTTTGCTTGTGTGAATTGAGAGAGGCAGGTCTAACGTCCCTTCCTCATCAGAGCTCGTTCTTTCTAGAAATACCCGAAGGCGTTTCCGGAGCCGGAGGCTCTGGTGGAGCGGTCCGACCAGCGCTGGATCTACTCGTGCGGCAACCGCTCCGAGTGGCACCACGTCAAGGTCGGTCACTGCCACCGGCACACCGATGGCATCCTGGAGGAATCCATCTGCATCTGTGCTGAGGATTTGTGCAACGGGGCCACGGCTCGGCAGGCCGTGCCGTTCCTGGTGCTGGCAGTGGCCCTGGTTCATCTGCAGCGAATGATCGGCTGAGGGAACCAAGTGCCACTTCAGTGGAGATAGGAAACGTCGTTGTGATGCTTGGGACGGCGGCAGCATTGCCTGAGGGTTGGGTAGGAGATGGAGGGTCGGGTTGGCCAAGTTGGGTTAATGGGGGAATTATAGGATGAGGATTGGTCTGTGTTGATTTCCTTGGGATTGATAAAGATGGACGTAGGCTGTGAACAAAAGCAATGCTCGTCAACTTGATGTTAGAGACAAAATGTAGGTAGAGAGACGTCAGCAATTTGATGTCTATAGGAATCGGAATGTGTTTTTAAACTGTGCATGCTTTGACATGGCAGGGAAATAAAATTGAAACACAATATATGTTCAGCATCCTGTCAAAGTTTGTGAGGCTAGGACCGAAACTGCCATTTTACATTCACTAAGGTACTGGATTCATGAGATGTCATACCCACTCTTGAGCTGGCCTGACCAGACATACAATGTACCGTTGTCAAGTATACGATAATCAGTACTTTATCATTTCTTTATTAATGTGCACACTTCATGCCATTTCTACAGTAACCATGACAATCGTATTCATTTTACCGTAACCGTGTTCCATACACATGCATTCTCAAGGCAAACTCGTTTGCAAAAAGCAGCAATTATTCCTGTCAGCTCAGCTTCCACTTCTTACGTCATTTCACAAACGGGTAGTCATTCGAAGATAAAGCAATGTACATATACATACTGCGCTTGACACGCATTAATATGCCATTACACACAATGCATCATTCGCAGTAGTAACAATATGGATTGTTTTCATAACATAAACGGCACAACTGAAATGATTAGACTGAGAGATAAATTGTATGTGGATATTCACTATTCGCCTAAAGTGTTTTTATAAGCAAAAATTTCTTTCAACGAAACCAATAGTCTTTTATGATTACAGCCGATATCATATACAGCCGATATCAAGTTGGAATTGGTCGACACACAAAAAGCAAGTAAAACAAACATTTAGAAGACCATTCTAATTATTTTCACTTCCGTTAAAAAAAAAATGAACACTGGTTTGTTTCCGTCCTGCTCGTGGGAAGTGATCTCCCCCAGTTATTTTGTTAAGCATTATATAGGGCGCCAACAACACAGATCGGCAACGAGAAACAAATATTTTTTGAACATATTACGCAATACAATGCACAGTGTACATGTACATAGCCCAAAGTATCCAATAATTACGAAGGTTGGTATAACAATCAAATTGCAATCAAAATGCCACATTTACAGACCACTTGTTCTAAACTCGCACATACTTTCCACATTTATTCCACACTATTCCACGTCAATCTTGAAATGCAATGCAAATCACTGAAGGAACTTAGCTCTACCTTAATGACAAACCATCCAGTTCAGTAATTTGCCTCTCATTCCGATAGGCATTGCATTGCTTTATAGGTAATATACGTCTACGGTTGACTATCATCTCTATAAATACAGATGTTGAGCAGAAGCATAGCAATACTCTCACAATCCTCACCAGAAGTTACGCGTGAGATGGCGACCGCAACCACACTGATGTGCAATGATTTTGGAACGATGAAACTATTTGCAATGCAAGTTACACTGATGAGTGATACGTAATGTGTTCAATGTTGATATAAAAAATGGTAAATGAGACAAAGCATATGTGGTAGCTAAGAAGTTCTGGAAAAACAGTATGCGAAGATAAGCAAAACTAAAAATGCTCGAGGGTACAGGGAAACTTATAAAACGTTACGTTCGATATTTTTTGCAGAATCAACGGTTTTACAGAACAAAAAGCAGTTAGAAATAAAAATTAATTCTGAAGTGCTTACGAGTGAAAACCTATCATTAAGGGTAGCAGGAGCATTTGTTTTTTAGCCGTCAAATCATGAAACTCAATCGACTGACACTATATTTTCTATACTCAAAAGTCGACACATTTGTAGGATACGTTTACCTCATGTTTTGATTTTACAATCGAGGCTAACTGTTAAATTGACCACATAATGCCTCCGTTAGTATCTCGAGGAATATAAACAAGTAAAATCACGATGATTGCGATGCAGAACCGGACGAGTTTTAAAATGTCTTGAAAGTTTGCTTATCAAATTAAGAAGTACTTTTAGGTACTAAAGCATGCTTCAAGATATCTAATGGAAGAAGAACAAGAATTTATATATAAAAAAATCGGAACAAAAGGGCAGGTGTACCGTATTCTTATAAATGAGATCACCTCCACTTCGATCAGCAAACAAGTGAGCAGGCTGCAGCATCAAAGAACATTAACCCGCGCACCGACGGGGGGGGGCGGATATCCGCCCCCCTGAGGTTTTTCGCGAATAGCGGGAAAACCGCGGCGCGTAGCGCCGCGAAATTTGGTATGACTATTCCCTTATCAATTTTACACATGGTGTGCAAGTTTGAACCTCCTACCTTTCAAGGTCAGGTCACCAGGTCACTTTGAATGACCCAACCTCAAGTCACTTTTTTGCAACTTTGTCACCGTGCCAGAGCTACAGTAGATGTCGGAGGCCTTTGAAAGTCGCAGGATGTTATTAGGTCATTAGTAGCTACAATTTGTATATCTCGGAATTTTGATATCGGTGACCTAAGGTCAGGTCAATTTCGCGACCTCCCCATTATAAGTCAATGGGGGAAAAATCAACTCCCTGTTTTTACCACTAAAACGGGTCGGAATGGCCCCATATACCATACATGACTTCATATACGATCAACCTTCACTACCTTGAGGTCTGTTTTGCTGTTGGGCAGCTGTGAGGTCATGTGACGTCATCAAAGGTCACCAAAGGTTTTTGGCCAATAACTCCGTACAGGAACAAGATACAGACGCGTGGATGGTCTCATTGTGTTCAGCTCGTCAAGACGCATCGAATGATATACATGATGACCTCGAGGTCACGTGACCTGAGGTCAACCTTTGACCTTGACCTTTCGAGGTCAACATATGTATCATTCGATGCGGATTGACGAGAGGATCACGATGATGCCCTTAGTTTGTTCCTATCTTGACTAATTCGAAAGTTATTCGAGAAAAACTCTCTCCATATTTAGCGCCGCCATTTTGGCTTTTTCGACCCCTGTGACGTCATCTTTGACCTGACCTGAAAATGACCTTAGTAAAAATTGTAGATCTTGACCGTGCGTATCCGATGCCGTTTACCGCTTGTCGCTATCTTGCTTCGTTCTCGAGATCTCAGGGGGGGGCGGTCATCCGCCCCCCCCCCCCCCGTCGGTACTAAGTTGGCGCAGACCCCCGTCGGTGCGCGGGTTAAAGTCACCACCATTCCACGAGACAGCATAAGCAGTAGCATGACTAGCTACAAATAGAGGTAGATGTTAGAGATGTTGCTACTAAAAAGAACTACATGTCAGTGCTTGCATGTCAACAATATTTTAAAGCGGAGGAGGAATGTGTTTCTTCTCATTACCATATTCAACATTCCATATAAGGATGTGTTTTACGCACTCATCCTATAATCGGGCATGTGAGATAACGAACTTTGCACTTCACTAAAAATAGTAACACTTCGCGAAATGAGCGCACCATTTCAAGCATGTCTTCAAAGCCCAGGATGCCGCTGCACCCAGGCTTCCCAGCTCCCCACTGTCGTATAATTCATTGCACTGCACGTCGCCAACCTATGCCGTTCGACACAGACAACGCAGCGCTCCTTGTCTATATCTCACTCAATTATGTAGGTCCACCGGCGGTGTCCTTTTCCAACATTTCACGACACATCACGAGCATATCGTTTCTCTCGACCGTCCTGTCGGCTCCTCACGTCACCCCTTCGCCTGTTCTGTTCCGCACTGTATCAGACCTGCTGCGGTCCATTGAAATAGAACACCACCCAGTACACGGTGTTCAGTACCACAAACGACAAAGGGAAGAACACGCGCGAGAACCGGTCCACCAGGATGGCCCGGTGCCGCTGCTCCTGTGACGTGTCGCGCAGAAACGCCGACGGCTGCGGCAGCGCCGCCGAAAAGATGGCCCCGTTGTGCAGGGAGGCGGCGTCGCGTGGCCCGTCGCTCATCGGCAGGCCCTCGCCATCCGTCTGCGGCAGCGCCCAACGGTCAGACCGAAATCGACGCGCGATTGTCGGGAACGACGGGCGTGGTGTACGGAACGGGCGGGGTGGGGGCGGCCGAATGACTGTCTTAGAGTTTAGCAAGAGCCCGTCCGTGATGAGTAACATTGGTAAGGGGGATAGGCAATGAATATGACCCAAATTTGTCCACGAAATTAAACATAAGTGAGCATACGTCCAAAATGACTGATTTTTTTTTTCGCTTGGAACGTCCATAACATTGTTCGACGCCCGCCACAAAAATAAGAAGTAAAAATAATACCTTATGATAATAAGAAATAAGTAAAAATAAATAAAAATAACAAAATACTAAGACACCCGTTACCCAAGGCACAACATCCGTCAACATTCGCCCACAAGTCATTCCTCATTCATTCCGCACTGTTACCCCACCCAACAACCCTTAGAATGTCCAGTTATTATGGCTATCCGCGGCGCGCTTCCACTTTGATTTCCCCAGGCGATGGGTGACCGCCGGCGGGTCAGCCGTCCCCTGGGGATATACTGTGCCGCCGCACCCACCTTGATGCCGCCGGGCGCGCGGCGCCGGCGCACTGTCAGTCTCCGTCGCACCGAACGGATGCTGCGCCGCACCAGGGACTCGTCAGCGTCCACCAGGTCACCCATGATGACGTTCACCATGGCGTACTCCATCAGCGAGAGGAACACGAACACAGTGCACGCGTTCATGAACACGTCCACCGCCTGAGGGAGACGGAGGAAAGTGCTCAGATGTGGGTAAGTACAGGCAACATATTATAATTTTCTGTAATCTGTACCTTCTTTGTCGCTTGCTTGCCGTAATGGTTATGTTTATATTTTCATTTTTGACTCTCATATTCATAATTTTTATTGTTATTCAGCAAATAGGGATAAATTAGGAAAGCTCTTTAACTAAACATGCAATTATCAACATAGAAAGAACGTTATACACCTAAAATCTTGGGAATGTTTCGATTGTATTCTTTTTTGATAGTTACGGAGCGAGCGAAGCGAGCGTAGTCTTTCCTTAACCCGCGCCGTGCTGGTGGCCTGAACTTTCCGCCGAGTGCTGGGGGGGGGGGGGCGTTTTCACGCCCCCCGTCTAACTCGGCTCCTGGGCCACGTAGCGACACGCGGTAAGCGGCAATCGAAAGAGCGTCGAAAATAAGGACGAAAACACTTCGGTCATTTTTTGGGTCAGGTCAAAGGTCAGGTCACCAGAGGTCACCAAAGGTAAAATGTTGACTATTTCAACATTTTGGAAACTGCCAACGGCTATCTCGGGAACCGATAGAGCTACAGCGCCGCGGAAAAGCGCATTCGATAGCCCTTTTACAGACCTTTCTGAGTAATGTTCTCAGATTTGACCTCAGGTCAACGGTTTAGCCTCCAGAGGGCAAAAACTCCAAAAATAGCCGTTTTTACGAAAAACGTTTTTTCGTCAATAACTTTTGACTCATAAGCGCCATGATATTACTTTTGCCAGCATCGTGTTCCTCTCGTCGAGACGCGTCGAATGAACTATTCGTTGACCTTGAAAGGTCATTTTGAAAATTTGACCTCAGGTCAAGGTCATGACCTGACCGAAAAGGGTCATGTTGCATATCAGTCGATCCGTATCGTCGAGCTGAACACATCTGACGTGTTTTCACCGCTCTAGCACGTCTCTATCAAAAGTTATAGCCAAAAAACTGCTGGCGACCGTTCATGACCTGAGATGACCTTAGGGGCACACAGAGGGGTCACAGGTGCATTTTTCCTATTCAGTGTGTCATGTTTACCTATGAACCGATGTTTGAGAGCGTTTTGAACGATATTCGTCCAAAAGAGGCGCATTTCAATTTTCTCCCATTGACTTATAATGGAGAGGTCGCAAAATTGACCTGACCTTAGGTCACAGATATCAAAAATCCGAGATATACATTTTATACATACTGTTACTCATATCAATCGCTGAAAGTTTCAAAGTGATCGTTCAGTCGGTGTAGCTATAGCGAGCCTTTGAACTTTTTCTGAGGTAAGGTCACTTGACGTGACCTGGTGACCTGACCTTGAACGGCCTAGGTCTGAAATTTTCACAACATGTGCGGAAATGATGTAGGAACACGTGTACCAAAAACGGCGGCGCTGCGCGCCGCCGTTTTTGAGATATTCGCGAAAAACCTGAGGGGGGGGCGTAAAAACGCCCCCCCAGCATGGCGCGGTAGATTAACGGAAATTTCCGAGTATGAGCGGCCGGCCGGCCGTGCGGACGCTTTTGCGAGGCTTATATCTCAGCAACCACTTGACCGATTTACATGCGGTAATTTTTGTAGGGTAGCTTCATTCCTTCTACCAAGTATTGGACTATTCCCGATGCATGTGGGTCACCCCTTATGCACGTGCCACGTGCAAAACAAGGAGGTGTCAGTTTTGTAATTGTTGCAATATCTCGGTAACTACTTGGCCGATTGCGCTGAAAGTTGGCATGTAGGTAGGCACCCACTAGGCACTGCATATCCATGTGCCAGAGTTGGGGTGCTGCTGCACGTGCGCACGTGCAGGGGTCGTTTCCAGATCTCGAGAACGGCTGGACCGATGGCGCTCAAATTTGGTACACGGTTAGGGACCAGTTCGTAGGGTGCTGTGCACAAGTCAGTTGTGACCCATTTTGCACGTGCGCACGTGCAGGGTGCCGCTCCCAGATCACGAGAACGGCTGGGCCGATTGTGCTCAAATTTGGCACATCGCTAGAAACCGGTCAGTAGGGTGCCGTACACAAGTCAGTTGGAGGTACCCCCTCGAAATTTCGCACGTGCAAGACTCACCCCCTCGCTCGCTCCGTTAGTCGCCCCAAAAGGCGCTATACTGGTATTAATGTCTCATCTAGCAAGCTGCAGCCGAGGATCCGCGTGGCGTGTGCCATCACTCAAACTTTGCTATCTAACGAGAAAAGCCGCCTGAAAACATCGCCCGAGCCCTGTTCACCGGTATGCATTTAGATCGAATGTTTAGCGCGTCACTGCCTGGCTCCTCCTCGGGTCTAGAGGGTCCCTCCCCTCTGCAGGTGTTAACCGGCTGCATGTAAATAAGCGAGTAAAGGCAGTCTGTATTTTCCGTACTCGAAGATGCGAAAGTCATCAAGTCCTTAAATGAACTGTCCCACACAAAGGACACTTAGTTAATTTGGTAGGTATTTAAATAACAAAGTAGAAGTAAACATTGACGGGCTTTAGATATGCAACTAAAAATGGCTAGCACATCATTTTACTATTCAAAGAAATGCACAAGCCAGCTTTGGATAAATTACTCATTAATTTTACATTGCGTATTATTTATTGATCCTTGCAATGCATTGCCATTCAAAAAGAAATGAATATTGTCCGTAATGGAGCGCTTCGTTTTTAAAAGCCCACTAAGAAGCTTTTGTTTATGTATAGGGCAATAAAGTGGGGCATGCCATCACAGTCAAGTTTTATTATCGGACACCAAAAATGCAACAACGCCATAAATGCACGCAGCTCGCCTTAGCAGCACCGCATCGACACTGTAAAATACCAGCAGACTTTAAGAAACCCTTTGAAATCGTAGTGTGTCTCCGGCAGCCTTGCTAACAATGGCAATTGTCACCACCTTTTGACTGCGACGGCTAAATCCACCGTCGTCCCCGCTTTGTGCCCAGGCAGCAAAGTTCAAAGGCTTACCTTGATGTAAGACACGGGCGGCAGAGACTTCTGTGAATTGGCGTGCTGCGTTGAGAGCGTGAGCAGAGAGGTCACTCCCAAGGTGACACGGGCCGGCACAGCCTCCGGCCGGATCCAGAACGAGATCCAAGACATGATGACGATCAGACACGTCGGGATGTACGTGTGGAAGAGGTAGTAGCCCAGGCGGCGGCGGAAGGTGAAGACGACCTCCACGCAGGTAAAACTTCCTGGAAGATGCAAAGATACTGTGCGTGAGCACTGATGCCTTCATTACATTTGTAGTGATTAACAACGAGTACATACTACGTAGTTTGCGTGTTGTTTGTTCACATGTTTTCTGGTTTCGTGTAACTTTTCTCGTGAAATACGACAAAGAGAAGCATTAAGACTGCACAATATACCTTAAAGAAACTCAGTCTAGACTAACCGAACTTCATTTTCAGAAAGAATAAACGCATTATCCACATCACCTGCCTCCAAACTAGCCCTGGATTGCATTAGACCGAACCACCTGACGCATCATTTCGTTAGACATGTCGAGCGTGATCCCGTCTGCATCCCTAATTGCTGCGGCAGAGTCAGGTCTAAATAAAGCCGGTCTCGGCTGTCTGCGGCCACGGCGCACTTCCTTCACCCTCTCCAGGCAGCCAGCCGCGCTGAGCCCCTATTGAGGGCCAGGCAGGCGTAAAGAGCACCGGAGCCGCACTCACTCGGCCCGGCCCGGCGCGGCGTGGGGCGGACCAGGGCGGTAGGCTGGGGGCATTCCACGTCAAATCGAACAAAAATCGGCTGTTTTGCCCCTTACCATCAGCGATTTCATTATAAATTTGTGAGCGAGTTCCTGTGTCGCCCCGGACATTACATTGATGTTTTTTGCACATTCTGACCACAGGTCTTCTAAATATAGGGCATCAAATTTTTACAAAATGTTGCATCTTTATATTTTTGAACGACCATAACTTTGGTTGTACTTGTTTGATTTGAATGAAATAAACTTTACTGTTTAGGTAATTTCTTAAGCATTTGTTTAGAATTGCATCGACTTAAATATATGACCTTGAAATTTGCTTAACTCTGTTCTTAAGCACAAAAATTGAAATAGCAAAAAACACGCCACCTTTGATTTGGCTCATTTTCATATATTTTATTGCCTACCATATTCTTAACAACCTGTGAAAAAATTAGAGTGGGCCATTCATAAGTTTTGAAGAAAATGGCACTTATGCAAACGTATGTTAGCAAGCGCAGTGGAGGGGGAAGAGTGAATTTCGCCCCACCCCTCCTGTTTTTCGCCAATATCTCATAATATTGATGCGAAATTACTTATGGCTACCTGGCCAGAATTGAATTGCACATCTCATCGTGCAAGCAATAAGAAAATCGGTTCACAACTGTTCTAGTAATAGCGGTGTAAAGTGAACATCCTGTCGCCGCGGCGACGCGGCGACTCGGCAGCCGGCGCCGACCGCTACGCGCCGCCTGAATTGTAGACTGTGCCGGGACGGAACGGAACGGTTCCGTCTTTACATCGCGCTCCTTACCGCTGATTACGTTCGATTCGCGTCAAATTTTGTGAGAAGACTAAGAAATGTACAGGCAATCTTATGGTGAAAGAATTCTGAAAATAGGTTGGTAAACAATTGAAATATGAACGTGTAAACACAAAATTGTGACTGCTGCGTTTCCCGCTTCGGCCGATCCCGCCTCAGCCGGCGACATGTTACTCTTAGCAGGACTCTAACTGCCATATTTATTATCGGATTAACTAGAAATTCATACATAGAAATCCATACATACTCAAAAATGTATGTTCTTTCGTATAGTGAAGATCAAAAGACGTGAAGATATCGTTGCGTGATAATGTTTTCGTTGAATTTATTTCATGATGCATTTCCACACGGCTCAAAATTCACCGCAAAATACCGTTTGCCTGAGACACTTTTACAATGGAACGTGAATGCTTGACTACGATGACTATGCATTTCCATTCTCGCAGAGTTTGGGATATCACTAATCAGCAATCATTCATTTCAGAAAGTGTACACAAGCAAGCATGTCTTGACTCTGTCTTTCAAGGTCACGCGCGGTTGCGTGATGTTGATGCATGAAAACGGCGTTTGCCGCGAAAGTTATGAATGGCCCACTCCAATTTTTTCACAGATGGTTAGGAACATTGTGACGGACATAATATGTAAAAATTACTCAAATCGAAGGTGGCGTGTTTTTTCCTATTTAAATTTTTCTGTTTTAATTCAAGGTCAAATGCATTTCAAGGTCACTTCAATTTTATTTTATAATTAAAAATCAAAGCCTTATCAATTGCCTACAAGACCCTGTTAATATCATTTTGATACCAGAAAAGGAACCAGAGTTATAAGCATTTAAAAAAATGATGTGTGGCATTTTTGGCTATATTCGATGACCTATATCTCGGCGATATGTTATCAAATTTCGAAAATATTATACGTAACTCAGTTTTGAACCATGCCCAGTCTGCCTACAAATTTTTAGAAAAATCGAAGGGGATGACGGATTTCGGTGTTTGATTTGACGTGGAATGCCCCGCTGGGGAAGCTCTGAGCGGGGAGGTGGGGCATGGGCTTGAGGAGCTGAGTGACGAGCGACGGAGGCTGTGGAAGCTCGGGTGATAAAGACTGGGGTGGAGGAGTTGGGACGAGAGGTGAGGAGGGAAAGGCTTTGAGAGGGGAAGAATGTAGTTCTCAGGATCAGCGGCTCGAGAGGCTGGTGTTAACGCTTTCGTGGCCGATAGAAACTCGAGATAGTGATGACGATAGGAGAATGAGACCGCTGACGGGTGGTTAAAGCTCCAGTGTCAGGCATTCGCTTAGCGCAGGAAATCAAAGGCAGCAAAAGGCGACAGGGGAAAGCCGTAGTAGCTGTTCACCGATAGTTCACGTCAGCCTGCACTGATACCTAATATAGCCTACAAAATACAAAAACAAATGACTGATTAAAGAGGACATCCATGAAGGTAGCGTTGTTGAAAAACTGTAATTCGGGCGCGACGTGCGGCGAGTGACCCGTGGTGCAGACGACCCTCGACTGACCGGTGACCTCGACTGACCGGTGGCGTAGATGTGGGTGCAGTCGCCGGTGATGTTGGAGACTAGATCCAGCTGCGGCAGTTCGATCGGATCCACCTCCAGCGGCACGTTAGGGTCCCACAGGAACACCAGGTCGTCGGTGGTGTGAGACACTGTGAATAGAGCACACAGATGGGAGCCAGGGACTACATAAAATCCATTGAAAGCTTATGTTTAGGTATAGACAAAACATTACTTAGCTTACAAAAATATGAACTTCGTATGTCATTGAAATTAAAAGTTGTTTATAGGGCAACTAACAGCGGCTGATATATTTCTTATTTAGCTATTTACAACAAGGAAACGGTGAGCTGTGAACGAAACTGCTTATAAAGTCCGATTGCGTGCCTCCCTAGACACAACATCACCCCGTGAAGTTGTTTGCTTTTCAACAAACAACCGTCCAGTCCACAGCTTTCTCGGCGTTGAAAACACCTTCAATAGTTAACAACTCAGCATCAACATGCCAAGCCCGCACGCGCACTTAACTCGGAAATTACTTACAGCTTTCAATTTTCATCGAGCACTGCTGCATGTCGTGGGGGTAGTAGTGAAAGTTCATAGCGCAGGAGAGCACCAGCGTTAGCCTGCGGACGGGAGGGGGAAGTTACAGGTCAGAAGGTGGTAACACAAAGCGGTTCTGGGGCGAACAAGTGTGTCACAGAGCCGCGTCTTGTTTGTCGGTCACATACCTGGGACTTTCTTTAGCCTTGCACACTGCCGCAATTCACAAGGCATTAACCCGCGCGGGGCTGGGGTCTCCAGCCGAACGCGCGGGGCTGGGGGGGGGGGGGGGGTAAATTTTACCCCCCCCCCTGTTATCTCCCGAACTAATGGTCCGATTTGGAAAATTCAAACGCCAATCGAAAGCTCTCATCACGAACTACTAAAAACATGTACTTAATTTAAAGTTTAAGGTCAAGGTCAAGGTCAGGTCAAGGGTACAAATTGCAAGTTTCTACAGTATCGGCCTTGCACCGTAGTTGCCGAAGAATGGAGTCATGGACTGAGACTGATCGCCCAAAACGTGTTCTTAGGCTACCAAGACAATACTCGTTGCATACAATATCATTCAGAGGTCAAGGTCAAGGTCAGGTCAGGTCAGGTCAGGTCACCAAAAACAAAATATAGAAAAGGGCATGTGCGACACATGTTTTATGGGTCATTTTACTCATAGAATTCAATAGGCACACTCAATAAGTGATATGGACCACCTCTGGATGAATTTCAGGTCGAGGTCAGGTCAAGGTCAGGTCAAGTGAGGTCAAATTTTGAAGTTGGTTGTTAAGGCCTAAAAAGGTGTCTATCTGATGCAGTTTTTCACGGCGAATCGAATGGTGCTATTTTTGTTTCCGTACGAGGTCTAGAACTTCCAAAAAAGTCATTTTTCAAAAAATTTGTGTGTCGTGACGTCATAAAATTTTGAATAACTCCCACATTTTTGAACCGATTCTTCTAAAATTTGGTATGTAGGTGCACATAGACCACTTCTCTGACATATATTCCGGTTTTTTCGATAGACTCAAAATTTTGGATTTTATAATGATTTTCCCAAAAAAGTCAGTTTTTTGAAAAAATTTAGGCCAAAATCCAAAATTTTCAAAAAACCGAGATAGCCATTTGATAGACAAAGTAAAATTACGTATAACCTTTTTTGTTACGTCTTGATTCCTTTAAAAATGAAGATGTTAGCGACGTTTGAACTTTTGCCGTTTTTGAGGCGAAAATGGCGAACATGACGTCACTAAAACGTCAATTTCTCAAAAATTTTCGGACGGATTTCGCTCAAATTTTCAGGGAACGTGTCAAATTGATGTAAGAAAAGGTACTGAAAGTTTGGCGGCGCTGCGCGCCGCCGTTTTTGAGATATCGCAAAAATTCGCGAGGGGGGGTAAAATTTACCCCCCCCAGCCCCGCGCGGGTTAATACAGGCAAATCAAATCACTAATTGTTATAACTTCCTCGATTGAAAAGCATATAAAAACAACAAAATATTTATTTTTTGTTTGCATGTTATGCTGACGGTAGGTATATTTGAATCAGGGCTGCGGAGTCGATGGATTTTCGGCGACTCCGACTCCGACTCCGACTCCGGCTTTCAAAAACCAGCTCCGACTCCGACTCCGACTCCGGGCAGAATTGTCGACTCCGACCGACTCCAACTCCCGACTCCAACTCCGCAGACCTAGCAGGGCTGCGGAGTCGACAGATTTTCGGTGACTCCGACTCCGACTCCGGCTCGGGTTTCTAAAATCGACTCCGACTCCGACTCCGACTCCGGTCACAACTGTCGACTCCGACCGGCTCCGACTCCGACTCCGACTCCGACTCCGCAGCCCTGATTTGAATAATGCCAAACTTCTTTAGTTTGAGTAACGCTTTTGAAATCGAGATAAAGATAAGTTCCTATAATTATTTTTCCTTAAAATACCTTTTGCCAATTTTCTGTGACCCAGTTTGAAGGTCCTTCGTCCTTGGGGACAATGATGAACTAGAAAAGGCGCTCGTGTGGCGAGTAGTGTGACCGCGCTCAACGCAAACGCTCGATATCTGGGACAGCTTTTTCACAGCGACAAGAAGCCTAGCGAGGCCGGTCACCAATGTGGCGGCACTATCATACCAGCATTGAGTGCATTGCGCCACATGTTGAACGGCCAACTCATAACAAGGATGCATTGGGTGTAAATTTGCGGCTTTGCGCAGTACCTATATAGTTAATCGTTGCCACGCTATGACATATTGATGTATGCAGGGCACAAGAGCCTGACTGTGCTGCATGGGCGTAGGAACGGCTGGAACATTGTGGGTGCATGGGTGCAGAAATCCAGCCATGGCCGGTGAAGCGGGGGGGGGGGGGCGACACCCGAGCGAAGGCTCGTTACGAGCTTTGAGGGTGTACCATGTCGAAAAGGTACCAACCGATAAGTGCATTTGGAAGCATTGACCCTCGCATGTGTACGGGGGTCGGATGAACCCTCCCCCCCATGGTTGTTCGCAAATAACTCGCGCAAAAAGCGGCCGATCGCGACGAAACTTTTAGTACCCTCGAGTTTATCAGTTTTACACCTACTCTAAAAATTTCATGGCCCTGACCCAAAAGACCTTTGACCTGTGACCTGATTCTCGAGACCATGTTCGGCCGGAATCGCGATTTGGCGTATGTCAGCTCACATTATCCGCGCGTTTCCAGTCTTTTTGTGATTGTAGACGTCCAAACATGTGAAATGCTGTTCTTCCCATGCATCACGGTGGGTGTGAATATAACCTGAAGGTCAGGTCAGGTCATTGACCTTTGATGACCTCGGTTCACTTTTTCGAGTTTTACATGTTTCTAGGGTAGTTTATAGGGCTGATTTCGAATTTAGCGTCCATTTGAACGTTTACGAAGTAGTTTTAGTGCTTTCGTGACATGCTACGACGCCGTCAGTGGTAGTTGACACCTACTATAGTAGGTGTGGATAGCCATATATGGATAGCCGGTAGGACGCCTAATGGTTGACCTGACCTGACCTGACCCGATCTGGCCTAAATGCATGAAGAAATCATCTGTGATCAAAACTAACATCAGATATTTGTGATCAGCACCCCAAAAAAAACGATAACAGCTTCACTTTACGCAGTTCTAGCAGGTCTCGATTTTCCCGACTTTTGGAATATTGACCTGACCTGGAAGGTCAACCAATGAAGTAGGACCTTAAAATTGGGTATCATCGGCTTCCTCTCGTCACGGGCAACACCCTCGTTTTTCCGCGAAGCTCTAGCTCGATCAGGGGCCGAACGGCAGGGGGTCCGACCGACCCCCTCCCCCTACACATTAGAAGCTGGAAAACGCTGCACACATTCGAGGGCTAATATTGTCAATATTGACTACCGCAAAAAGTAAAAGCGGCCAACTTAGCCATTTTCGAAGATATCGGGCTAACATTTTTGATAGTGGGTCATCGGTTCGGTATGTGTTCAATCACATGCTCTATTTCCCTTTTTCAGCACAAATGTAAGTTTTGAAGACCATCACTGATCACAGTAGCAAATGCTTCGAAAGATGAATAGTAGGCAACATATCCATGAATTTGCCGTGCTGCATGGGAAGTAGTGTTGATGAAAAAGGGGTTTTTGGTTCAGATTATTGTGGGTGCAGAATACATTGTCTGCACCCACTGGATAAATATTGTGGGTGCAGCTGCACCCTTGCACCCATGGTTCCTACGCTTATGCTGTGCTGCAATGTCGAAAATACCGTTTGACAGCTCACAGCAGGGCGAGGCAGTAAACATTGTCAACAGCGCACCCGATATCCAAGCAACTATCGAAGATGTTGTTTTCCTTGGTACTTACTTGACCATATAGAGGATGCTATTATCGTTGTAAAGCCACACATAATGATTTGGTATAGTCATCTCTTGAAAGGTGACCTGCTTGGCATTTTTGAAGTAGGAGTCTGGATGCCAGATTTCCTTGAGCCAGTGAACTGGTAAAAGCCTGTAGTATCCGGTTTGGTTTTGCATCTTCTGGTTGAACCTGAGCCGTTCATCTCGCCAGCTCTGCGCAAAGAAGATGTCGGCAGCGTACGTCTGGCAAAAAGAGAACAAGTCACGGTCAGGCTAAATTATAGTCAGGTAAGAAGTCACGAGAAGTTAAAAGGCGAGGTTTCGTCAGCCCCTCTCTCGCAGTAAAATATTTTGAATACGTGCTTTTCTGACTTTTGACCTTTATCAAACTCCATTAGTGGATATTTCGAACCAACTTTGAAACTTCAAAACAGTGTTGAAAGCTGACGGCATGCTTCAAAGACGTTAACCCGCGCCGGGCCGGTGCTCTGAGATTCCGCGCCGGGCCGGGGGTGTCTGAACACCCCCCCCCCCCGTCTAACTCGGCTCCTGGGCCACGTAGCGACACGCGGTAAGCGACAATCGAGAGAACGTTCAAAATAAGGACAAAAACACTTCAGTTAATTTTTGGGTCAGGTCAAAGGTCACGTCACCAGAGGTCACTAAAGGTAACTAATGTTGACTATTTCAACATTTTGGAAACTCCCGACGGCTATCTCGGGAACCGATAGAGATTTAGCGCCGCGGAAAAGCGCATTCGATAGCCCTTTTACAGAACTTTCTGAGTAATGTTCTCAGATTTGACCTCAGGTCAACGGTTTAGCCTCCAGAGGGCAAAAACTATAAAATAGCCGTTTTTACCAAAAACGTTTTTCGGCAATAACTTTTGACTCAAAGGAGCCATGACATTACTTTTGCCAGCATCGTGTTCCTCTCGTCGAGACGCGTCGAATGAACTATAATTTGACATTGAAAGGTCAATTTGAAAATTTGACCTCAGGTCAAGGTCATGACCTGACCGGAAAAGGTCATGTTGCATATCAGTCGATCCGCAACGTCGAGCCGAACACATCTAAGGCGTTTTCAGCGCTCTAGCACGTCTCTGTCAGAAGTTATTAGCGAAAAACTGTTAGATTCTGTTGGTGACCTGAGATGACCTCGGGAACATAACGAGGGGTCACAATTGCCATTTTCCGGTTCAGTGTGTCAATTGTACCTACATCTCGATGTTTGAGAGTGTCTAGAATAGCGTTCGTGCAAAACAGACGCTTTTCAATTTTCTCCCATTGACTTATAATGGAGAGACCGCAAAATTGACGTGACCTTAGGTCACCGATTTCAAAATTCCGAGAACTACATTTTATAGATAATGTTGTTCTAAACAATCGCTGAAAGTTTCAAGGCAATCGATCAATCGGTGTTGCTATGACGAGCATTCTTATTTTTCTGAGGTGAGGTCACTTGGCGTGACCTGGTGACCTGACCTAAGGCGACCTGGGTCTGAAATTTTCACAACATGTGCGGGAAAGATGCACGAACAATTGTGCCAAAAACGGCAGCGCTCCGCGCCGCCGTTTTTGAGATATCTGCGAAAAACCGCAGGGGGGTGTTCAAATACCCCCCCCCCCGGCCCGCCGTGGGTTAAACACCAGCGGAACGCATTCTTCGACGTACATAAAAAAACACGGCTCCAGCTTTCCTTACAGTCACACGTGTCGTCATTTAACTTTTATCTCTAATCTCTCGCTCCTGGTCAACTTTGCTTGATATAGGAATCAAGAGCGATCTCCCCACTTTGCCGACTTTATCGGATTCTATCTGCGGCGCGTGACCTCGGTACAATCCAATCAGGCACAAGCGGGGAATATAAAATATTCCCGCCTGTTTGGAAAATGGCGCCCAGCCACGGTTGAAGTTGGCTCGTAACTCCATATTCGAACCACAAGACCTAAGCCAGAAGCTGGGGTGGTATGCATATTTTGCAAGTCAAGTCAATGCACAAAATTAAACTAAGCCCTCTAATTCTCGTACGGAAAAAGTATTCAAAGAAAATCTACTACACATGCCTTCCCACTCAATAAAGCACAACATTTTCGTTGTTTGCACCGTCGCCGTGCTCCATTGTTCACTTTCCTTTACGACAAGGTTAAAAACTAGCTTTTATTCAATTCAATCCTTATTTGTTGCGTTCGGCTTTAAATTCGTTGAGCTTATTTCGCAATTGCGTTGCAAGATTGGATGTCTTCAGCTCAGCCCGCAAAACGTAAATGTCATCTACCGAGATTATACATATTGATTAGTTATTATCCGACAATGATGATCAGACCGTCGTTTAATGGTAAACTTGTCCGGTATTTTCCGTGATCAAACCACGGTCAGCACGTAAACTATCGAGTTCTGACTCCCCCGCCCCCTCTTCAAGTATTCGGTTCGGTCGCAGCTTCTGCCGGCAAATTTTAAGTTGGACGGCTTTGATGGGAAGTAACAATCCATACTAAAATCGGAACTGATTGGCGAAAGACTTGCTAAAAAAATTGAAGCACGACCATTTCAACTCGCCGTTCACTGGGGTCCATCCGCAAATGGTAAAGGGTAGTGGAAGTTATCTTATCGATGTTGACTGTGTTTGAGGTCAGCAATCAGGCGTGAGGATTGGTTGAGGCCCCTTCCCTTCAGTGCGGGCTTGTGACAATATGCATATTGCCGTCAGTTAACTTACCATGGATCCTTCGTCGATGGAGTCCAAACTCATCACGGTTACATGGAAGTAGACCTGTGTAGCCTTCCCTGAAAACGGTTAAGTGCCAATGGTTACAAATGTGATAACAGTTTGTCAGCTTGCAAGTTGAATGCATTTCTTCATTTCCCGCACACTGTCCCGATTTATACTTGCCCAATCGTCCCATTGCAACATTCAGGGACTCACATGGGGGGATTATAAATACGAACACAGATAGCCAAAGCATACTCTACACTGCACATGTCTGATAAGCTGTATTTACATACACAGCGTCTCAGAGACGATGCCCCTGAGCCTCCCCGTGGATCGTCGCTGGCGGCGACTACATCTCGTCAGAACGAATGGTCCGGTCTCCATTTGGCAGCCAGCCAACTGGCATCCGTCTGCCGAGCACATATGTCTCGCGCCCCGCACCACGATGACATAGGCTGCCTCCGTGTGGAGGGCAACACTACCCAGGAAGTGCGGCGTGAACAACTAGCGACTGAATTAGTTAGTTAGCCGTTGGCTGTAACGATTGGTGTACCGAATCGTGGCTGAGTCACCGTTGTCAACGCGAAGTCGATTTTAGTGACGCTCAACGAACATGCATATTTTGCTCTTGGAACAATGAACATGGCTCATCTTTAGCAGTTTATCAGAAACAAAACAAAATGAACACAGCTGTTGATCACGCCAAATGCAATGCATGGCAGGACGTGCAAGCATGAATGCGAAAACAGTTATGCATGGAATGTGAGTGCTTAGCAGCTACCGCCATCGCAAATGCATCAGGATTCTTTTATTTCTTTTTTTATGACAATAACCAGATTTCTTCCTGGTTTCTCAATAATTCACTGGCCAAACATCACTATCTTGCTCGTGACTTCCAGAGCCCCCCGTGTCCCTACAGCTGCCGCGCCCCCACAGTAGGATAACCTTTTGCAGGCTGCAACAGTACGAGCGTCCGTGGACATGCCCGGACTCGCTCCCCACACGAGCTGGCACGAAGCACGCCATGCAGTCCCGTGAACCCCATGCCCAGTGACCTTCAGACGGGCGCTGCGGTCGGGTGGGCAGTGCAGACGAAGGGTGCAGGCGTGCGGCGCGACCGGACCAGGCGGCTCAAAGGTCGGGATCGCGGTCACGAGACGCAGCCTCCACCGGAAGAGCGCGGGAACTACCGGTGACACTTCTGAAAAACAGATAAACGACCGAGCCGCCCCGGCGCCAGTCGGCAGGCGCACCACGTGAAGCGCAGCTGCATGCGATGACGTGTTCGAACCTAGTGCCGTGTGCACCGGACGGGGGGATTTCCCCGCGGTACCCCGCCGGCGCCGTGGTGGCGCTCGTGAACCGTCGATAACAGACCCGTCGGGCTAGTAGTTGAGCCGCAGTGCGGGCGGGAGGTGCACGTGGCCTGATGAGGCGCGGGTCAGCTGGAATGGTAACCCTGTGTTCGGTAAAAGAAGACTTATACTGTGCTGCGACGAGCGGAGCGAAGCTGCTGCGGTCTCACAGACAGGTTTGTTGCAGTTGTGGCTGCTGAATCGTCCCGGAGTACTGCATCGTTGCTTGAAGGGGACTGTAAAGCTGAAATAGCAAACCAGCTGCTGTGGGTACAACAGAAAAAGCGACTCTCGGCTCTAAGCTGGTGGTGTTACTGTCAAGATGGATCGAATCATCGGCATGCTGTGGCTCGTGCTGCTCCCCACAGTCACAGCAAGCCTCATGGTAACTGAGGATTCTGTGAGCAGCGGTAAATGGTTCAATGTCACCATAAGAGATGACATTACACCCGGCAACAAAACTATGGACGGCAATACCAGTGTCAACGAAATGATGGTCTTCGCGTCACGCTTCAACTACTCTCTAAACCTTCAAGCCATCAAGGTGATGATCCGCGGTAACATTGGGAAGCCGTCGCCGTCTGCCGAGGACCCACTGGTGGTCAGTGTACGAAACTGGGCAGGCGGACATACCATCTCGGTGCCGTACCTCACGTACGACAGACATGGTCAGATGCTGGCCACCCAGGATCACGCCACGCGCTACCTCTGCCCCGCCGAGCCCGGCCAGCCAGAGCATGCCATTGTGAGCGTCGGCACCGGGCACCTCCCCGCCAGCCAGTCGTTCCACTTCCAGGTAACGTTCCAGCGCATCGGCCACTGGAGCCTGACACTGGACGCGCCGGAGAAACTGCTGATTGAGCCACCGGACCCGGGCCTGTTCGCCTTCCGCTGGCCGGCGAAGGGCCCGCCCCAGCTGCTGCTGAAAGTCGACACCGTGCAGATGCCCCAGGTGTGCACCACAGTGGCGCTGCAGCCGCGCGTCTGTCCGCTGGCCCAGACGGAGGCCGAGCTGGTGACCGCGTCCACGTTCTTCACTATGTCCTCCGCAGGCGAGCTGGTCGTCGACCGGAAGCAATTCCCCGACGGATTCTATCTGCTGCTGCTGCCGCACGTCAACGACGTGCTCTGCGACCCGCATGCGCCACCGCTGACCAACATCACGCGCAAGAAGACGGTGATGGTGACACTGACGGAGCACCAGCTGCCGGTGAGCCTGCTGGCGGCACCGATCGTGCTGGCCGTGCTTCTGCTAGTTGCCGGCGCAGCCAGTGCGTGCCTGCTGAGGCGTGACCTGACGGCGCCGCGCCTCGACCTGGAGCCGGACGCGGAAACGGAGCGACCACGAGGCGGCTCGCTGACGCTCTCCGAGGACCTGCTGCTGGACGGTCAGATGGAGGAGGAGCCGACCCTGCAGGTGCAGGAGGCGCTGCCGGCCCGCTCGCCAGTCAGTCTGCTGATGGCGGCCGGCCTGCTACTGCTGGCGCTCGGCGGCGAGGCCGCGCTGACTGCGTTCCGCCTGCTACGTCGCTCCGGAGACCTGGACGTGTGTTACAGAAACGAGCTGTGCAGTCTCACCAGCGCTGGAGTGCCGGGACTGAACCACGTCGTGGCCCGGCTGCCGTACATAGGCGCCGGGCTGGGGCTGCTGATATGCCTGCGCGTCCAGAGAACCATCTACCGCAGAGTCACCATCGACGGCACTATCAAGATCGGGGCGCCACACGAGTGGAGTCTGCTGGAGGCGGCCGCGCTGGCCCTGGTCGCGCAGGGACTGCTCAGCGCTCTCCAGAGCACCTGTCCCGGGCCGACCAACGCGCCTCTGGACGCGGCGTTCATCTATTTTGCCCTGACCGCGATGGCGTGCAAGCTGTTCCAGACACGTCGCGGCGTCTGGGCGGCGGGCCACTACGCGCCGCTGCTGCTCACAGGAGCCCTGGTGCTCGCCGAGCTGGTGGAACAGCGTGCCGGTCACGAATGGTACGTCTGGGTAGTGCTGGGTTTGCTGCACATGCTGGCCACGGTGGTGATTGGTGTCCAGCTGTACGTGCTCGGCGAGATTTCCTCCGATCCGGGGGCTCTGCGCCGCGTCTGGGACAAGTCTCACCTACCGCGCGAGTCGCCCAACTTCCAGATCAACCGCGCCGCCTTCGCGCTCGTCATGCTGGTCAACCTTTCACTGGTCATCGGAGCGGGGGTCTCAAAGATGGCCGAGTTGAGCCACTACGCCATGCTCTTCTTCGCCATCCACGCGGTGCTGTTCGCGCTCTACTACCTGCTGCTGAAGCTGGTGAAGAGCGAGGAGAGCGCCGGACGCGTGTCGCTCCTGCTGCTGGCCATGGGACTGCTGCTGCTGGTGAGCGGAGTGGCCACGCTGGTCGGCTGGAGCACGATGAGCACGGGCAGCACGCCGGCCGTCTCCCGGCTGATGAGCCGGCCCTGTCTGCCTCACAGCCTGTTCGACACACACGACCTGTGGCACCTGCTGACGGCGCCGGCGCTGCTCTGTCTCGCCCTAGCCCTGATCCTGCTGGATGATAACCTACTGCTCACGCCGCGGCTGGAGATCACCCGCTTCTAGACGGCTCTCGGAGGGAAGCGGATTGTTCGTAACTTTGGGTGGGTTTCCCTGTTCAGGCCAGTGGCCCCGACGTCCGTCAGGCCGCTTATATGTGTGCTGTACCAGCCTGATGTGAGGTAAGAGCTACCTGAATCGTCTGTATAGATAAGCTTACGATTTCTGCTTGTATGGAAAATGTTCTATAAACATTTCTTTAGAAGATCAAATGGTCGGGAATGACTTCAAAAATCATACAACCTGACAATATTTGCTGTTTCACCGGTGGAAGTGAAAAACGTCATCACATAATGATAGCGTCGCGTACCTACGATTGTCAACTTGCCCAATTTATTTTGCGGGTAATCGTGGACTTTTCTTAATGACAAGTCCTCTGTTATTTAGGTATGTTTACCATTTGAAAAGGCCTTGAATATTCAGTTCATATGTATCATTATTTGTGCAATCAGTTAATCTGATTTTAGCAGAGCTATCGCCGACAATCGTGGTCTCATGGCCCCTGAAAACATCGGGGGCATGATGACATCATTATCATGACGTGATGTGATATGTTCAAGGAGATAGTGTGAAGTACCGATAACATGTGGAAACAAGTGTGTGCGTTAGATGTTGCTAACTCGGTAAAGCTAAAACGCCACGCTCGTAAATGAAAAATGTCATTTTGTTGGACAAAATGTGTCCTACGTGACCACGTGACATGTTCCATGTATCTGCCAGTTTGCGTGCCTAAATGATATGGAATATCAGGTGGTCGTAGTCAGACCTTTATGTTGATGTGCTATGCATCGTGCTTTCGTGCTCTAATACATCAACAAATGAAGCTGCTTTCAAGATGCGGAGTAATAAGCCAACTGATTCAGAGCTCATGAGCTCTAAACATTATGCGGGTAGTTGGTCCATGCTGGCCTTGTAAATTGGGTGCGTGGCAGCGGGAAACTGATACGACAGATTAATGCGCACTGCCCGCACCCCACTGGGGTCTGCGTATAGCGCGCCCAACTGGGGGGGGGGGGGCTATTCATAGCCCCCTCAACTCCGAAAAAACTCGACCGATTGCCAAAATTCAAACGGCGTCTAATAGCCCCGGAAAAACTGGCGAGCGAAACTTAATATTATGGACCTTGAGGTCACCGATGACGTC